ATAGGCTTGCTCAGTTCAGCTCTAAAGCTGGGTTATATTTTTAAGATCCTGAGCATTGTGTAGTCTGGACCTCCTGCATGATAATCCAATGCTCTACAACTTGAGCTGACCAAGTGAAGGAAATAAAATGCATAATTACCCATGCTTACACTTAGGGAACTTTATGATAAAAGTTTTCTCAGTCTGTTGAATTGTTTTTCCATTCCAGTTTGTTGCAGCTACCTTTTGGGGTATATATGTGATGGACAGAGAGCTAATATTTCCTCGTGCATTGGATAAGATATTCCCTCGATGGCTCAATCATATTTTGGTATGAGTTTTAAGTTCTTTTTTAACTGACTGCAGTGCTTTCAGTGTAGTATATCTAATAAACAGAAGGTTGTACGAGCTAACTCATAACATTATACTAACCTCTGAACTCAACTTTAACCCTGTAAAGTGAAAATCTTAAGAGAGACTTGCACCTGATTATTGTTCCTCACACGATCTGATTCCTGAATTAAACACTATTTCTAAACCTTGGTGTGAATGTAAGAAATCATCTCCAGCAAATAAAGCTCCTGATTTTGAAACAAATTCTCCTTTTTTAGTAACATACAAATTGTATAGAAAACAGTATTGAGAATGTATGTATTGATACGATATAGCCTACTTGCAGGTGGTAATTTGTGTTTCAGTGTGGTGAACATTTGGTTGCTGTATTAGATGGCTGGAAAATTTGGGATAAGTGACAAAGCAATGGAGAGGAGGGGAAGGATTTTTCTCCTCTCCCCCTCCCCCCTCCCCATTGCTTCAAATGTCACTTGTCTCAAATCTTCCACACACCCAATATAGTGACCAAAATTTGGCATGCTGAATCTTTTGTTAAAAAATGCAAACTACCATCTGCATGCAGGCCAATAGTACGGAAGCCAAAAAGGGACAATCCAAAAATATTTTTCAAATCCCGAAAAATATTTCAAATCGCAATATTTATTTTAAACTCACTGTCGAAAAGTTTGACAAATCCAAAGATATTTTTGCAAATCCAAAAAAATATTTAGAAATGCAAAAGAATTTTTTCAAAATCCGAAAATATTTTGCGAATCCAAAAAATATTTTGAAATCCAAAAATATTTTTTCAAAATCCGAAAATATTTTGCAAATCCTAAAAATATTTTGTCACGTGCTATTTGCGCCAGCAGTCACCCAGCATTTTCTTGCCATATCCTGCATCATCCCGCATACAAAATGGTGAAGGAACGAGGATAGAACATGTTCTGTCATAAATGTGGAAGAGAATGTGGGAACAATGAAACATTCTGCCGTTGTTGTGGAACACTAAAATGGCGTGAAGAGGAAAGTATGTTGTCCAGCTCGGGAGACGAAGGATTGGCTATAGAACATTACTTTAATAAGGATTTCGTTACGAGACCATTGTTCACTTTCTGGCAGAATACCATGGGATTTCAATGAACGTGAGGACTTTGAAGAGAAGGCTACGTCACTATGGGCTACAAAGAAACCACCTTCATTCAGAACACACTGTTTGGGAAATAGTTAGATTGAGAAATTGTTGTAAAATGGGGTTGACAGGCCTACACGACTCCCCAGCGCGTGTTTAGAGTAGCCTATTCAAAGTTTGGCCCCATTGAGTATGTCTTTGGGCGACCGTCCTCTTTTGTAAGATACGAGAAACGGATTTTTGTATATTTCGTTGAGTAGTGGTTGTGTTTCTATTAAAT